ATGCCACGTACAAATTGGACGCACGGTGACAGGCACGTTTAAAACACAAAATACTCCAACGAAGCGGTAGGTGCGCTTTACCTGGGACATCCCTCACCTCTCAATCACATGTCTCCCGTAAAAACGCGTACAAAAACAGAATTACGCTAAACTAAATTGGTTAATGAATGCAATTAATTTGAAAGGATTTCAGGCTTCCGATCGGCACAGGCGCGCCGTAATTGGCACAATTAATGTTCGTTCCAAAGAATCGATACAGCCTCTGTATCGGTCGATACAAGATCGGACATGTTGAAAGTATGCTCGGAATGAAACAAATTGAAATCTTATTGATTTCGCTTAGTAAGATGCAAATATAATCATTAATGAATATCTTATTCTTGGATAATTATCTATAATAATTTATGAGTTTGGGCTAGCTACTCAAACCTACATACTTGTAGAGTATTGGCTGGTATTAGGTTCTGAGTCCCGTTCATTGGCTAGACATGCTCGTGAATCTAAATTCGAATCCTGTAAAACCTTTCCATGAAATTCCTCTGCGAGATATAGATACGTGACCATACGTCCCACTTTAGGCGGGATGGTCCCGATTTAAAGGTTTGTGTCCCGCTGTCCCCAAAATACGTAAAAATGTCCCGCTTGACAAATAAAAGCGTAGCATCATGCAAACTGTCACCCGTGCCATCATTATGACACTGCGCGTACCAGGTTTGTCAGCATGGCATGACTAGTTACGTGATTATTCTGAAAACCTACACTTTTGAACTTAAAGTTAAGGAGCGACATTTTTTAATTAATCTACAGTAAATTATCAAATCATAAAAGTTATTTCCAATTAGTATTTATTTACTGTTCAGAAAAAATTAAAAAGCTAGCAGTCATATTTTTGATCATTAAGAGATTTAAACAATTATGTGTTTTATTTTAAAAACTATAATAAAAGGTTCCAGATTGAATTTTGGTAACGGCGGATATTGTCAACGAATATTAGTCATCTGCGCAGGACAGGATTATATTGCCCAAGTGTATGCGAAAGCACAGGTCTACCCTACTCCCTCACTCTTATAATCTGATGGAACGGTAATCCAAGACGACGGGAGCGAGATCAGGTGCAGGAGCAACGGTTTTACGTGCTTCCGGAGGCACGGTGGTGAAACCCCGCCAACTTCAATAAGTTCGAAATCAATATTTCGGGATGCTTCTGAAAATTTTGTGACAGAAAAACCCAATAAACGATTCTTGTCCCGACTCGGGTTTTGAACCCAAGGACCACATGATCAGCAATTGCGTTTACGACCGTTAGACTAAGAAGACGGGTCAAAAGTGTTAAAACTATAATAATTTTAAAGGTGTCCCGATCTGAGGAAAAAATAAATGGTCACTTTAGATATAGATGCAATTCTGTGTTAATATTTTAACAATATTTTGACTTTGATTTAACATATTTTGTGAAAAATATTCATAAGCTTTTAACCCCTTGTGTTGCAGTTGATCAGGTGACCGCCGCCGGTCATGATCAACTGCAACACCAGGGGAATTGCACAGTTCACTGTGCAATTCCCCTGGTGTTGCAGATGACGACACCACTGAACGTTTCAACGTTCAGTGGTGTCGTCATCTCTGTGCAGAGATAGAAGAGATCTTTCTTGTTAAAGGCACGAAGGAAGGCGAACTAGTTTCTCGCCAATTCTGACTATGTGATCCGACTTTGCCTTGGCAATGACTCTTTTGAAGGACCTGAACCTTGGCCGATTTATACCTCCTTTTAAGTACGCTGGTGTTTACATCCCAGGACGTTGATGCGTCAGCCCAAGCCCGGTAGCACTTCTGCTTATAGCATAATGCTATTTTACAGGAGCGACTAAACCATGACGGAGATCTGCCTCCGATGGGCACCACAGAGGAAGGAATAAAAAGTTTCATACCCAGAAGTACCACCTCAATGACAGAATTAGCAACAACGTTGGGATAGTCCGGCGAGAAACAAACCCGCCGTCAAGGGTAGGATGCAAAGAAAGTCCGCATCTTATCCCAATCGGCCGACCTGAATGAAAACGCGATTTCAGCGTGAGCCACCATACTTCGGACTATAACAACGGTCCAAGGAACTAGGGGGGCGTCGACGGAGACCTGATATCTGTCTGGATGATAGGTCAGCAGAAGATCCAACAGGGAAGATGCATGATCCTCCCTATGATATATCGATATGCCAAGGCAAAAACTTGTGTTTTTTTATCGCCAGTCACGATCTCTGTAGATGAGATCTGCTGTAGCAAGGAATCTGCAGCCATTTGGATGTGGTCGATGAGTCGGTCTCTTTTGGCATTACCGCTATGGGACCTATAGAGGCACCCGTAGACGCGCGGATGGTCGTCGCTGTCTACGCGTAGCCAAAGGATGAACCGGTCCGAACCTTTAAGACCGCCGAGGTGTCGACAACAGATGTACTCTGACGTATACGCAAACTCCAGCCCGAGGCACAAAGGGGTGCTCCAATTTATACCGCGGGCAGGAGAAATACGAAGTATCAACCGGAGAGGACACCTGCGTCTCGATTAGAAAGAGCAAGGCCGGCTTCGCCATCTCGAGATGGTAGTGGATGGCGTGAAGTTTTAAGTGCATTCCCCTAATATCCTGGTTGGCAGCCTGAGCACCCACGCTCAGGAGTGGAGTAGCTTGGTCGTGGACGCTCAGCGAGGGATTCTCTAGGGGTGCTGATACCCTCCTGGGTAGTTTTACATTTAATTCCCCCTCTGGCCACCTGCACTCACTAGGCGAAACGCAGAAGCAGAGCTTCCACTGTGAAATTGGCTTTATTCTTTAAATAGGTTTAGAAAAAATTCTAAATTTGTCTTTAAATACAACAGCCTGGACACAGACTACTTTACCTATAAAGATTGGAGTTGTAAAAATCTTCTAGCTTTCCATTGTCCGCCTTCCTTAGTGTCAGTGATGTTAGTAACGAAATTTTAAATACTAAGGAAGACCAGCACTTTGCTACAGAGATATAAATATGAAGACAATCACATACGAACATGGCAGACAATGTGTCCCAGCGAGAATATAACACGAGAGTTAACAATCACAAATGTGGATGCGGCTAGTGGGATATTTTATTGGTACGAAGTGAACAGAAAGATTTTTGTTATAATTTTGATAAGGACCATAATCCGGCCTGCCTTCTAACTATGTTGATTAACTAGTCACTAGTTATACGCTTTACCACCAAGTAATCTCGGCACATTGTTTGACGGGGAAGCTTGCGCATAGCCGTAGGAATACGGATACGAGCAGCGACCCCTCAACTCCAACAGTGCCCTTGTGTTAGCGGCGTCGACGTGTTTGGGCTCTAGGGACTTTCATGTAAGAAAAGTAGGTAATAGTTCTTGTACTATTATTTATTTTGTGGTAGTAGATAGTATATTTACAGTTTTATACCATTTGCTGTAGAGACTAACGGTCCAAGGAGTGCACATGCAATGAAGTTTCTTAAGGCACTGTATCCGCAATTTGTTGTCGCTGCTGGTGATAAAAGGGCTTGTTCTTTCCTCGCTCAAAGGATACTTACTAATATTACGGAACGCCACCGTTCTTGGCCCTATACCGCGGAGAGTAGGTTTTTTTTATAGGATAGGGTGACAAACGACCACACAGTCCACCTGATGATCATAAGGTCATAATTATCATAAGAGTTTCATCAAAAGTGCCATACATCAGATACTGCTGGCGCCAAACTCCCTGTTGAGCGTGGTCATCAAGGCAAATCCTCGTCTAATATCGCAGTGGCCATGTCCGACACCGGACTATTGACGAGCTGATGAGAGAGAAAGAGAGAGAGACAGAGAAATAGAGTGAGAGAGAGAGAAATAGAGAAAATAAATAATATATCACTGTTTTAACATTTTTTTTGTACACAACCCACCTGACGCTTTGGCCCATAGACATTCTACATCTATCCTCGATTACGAATCAAGATTACGAATCAAAATGCAGATGCGTTGTCACCCGTGAGAACTAAGATGGAATGCCTCGTTTCCAGTAAAAAGGGTCTCCGGTTCTCAACACTCACCATACGAAACACAGCAGCATTAAGCTACTATTTTACGCTGCTATTCTGTAAGAGCGTGGTCCTCCCCGGTCGGGACAACCCATTCGTGCTACAACTATATATACTTTAATATAACTGTAGCATGGCTCTTTTACGTATAAAGATCTGTCTGTCTGATGTTTTACTTGATATTGTATGATAATTTAAGATTTTATAGTTATAGTTTATTTTTTTTTAATTATCATTATAAATATTGTACTTTTTTATGTTATGTAGTTCACCGTGTAGTGGTATCATAGAATACTATATTATATATGTATTATGACTATGAGTGGCAACGTAAAAAATAAGAATATCCCCTACCCCATATGGTCCTGTGGGAGTTAGAGGCAACAGCTGGAAAGAAACCAAGTGATGAACAGCAACGACTTCTTAACCACAAGAAAATAAAACAATGATAAATACATCTCTTATGAGGTTATCTATGTGGGAGGCCTCCTCATGAGATCAGCAGTAATCTTTAATAGGATGTAACGGTAATGGTTATGATATGTAAGTTAAACATAAAGTAAAAATTAAAAGTAGTAAATTAAAAGTAAAGGTACAGACTAGAAGTTTAATAGTTTTATCAAGAAAATTATTACGTCGGCTCTTTTATATTCCTTTACCGAGTACATATTATTATATTTACACGATAATATAATATTCGCACGCACGCACGCACGCGCGATCGCACACGTGCACACACATTTCTATATTTTAATATTTTTATTTTAGTTTCACTAACAGATTTTTAATTTTTGTCAACATATAAGTAATCTGTACAGTTATTTTTGTGAGAAGACACTGGCTCTTGAGATACAGGTTTCACCTACGTTAGAAGTCAAGGACTTGTTAAAATGTATTAGTGAAATAAAGTATTATTATTATTATTATTATTGTGGGGTATCTATATAGTTTTCTCATCTGGTTGGGTTCTGTAAATATATAATTATAAATGAGAATGAAAAGATAAATATACATAAATATCAATAACATAAAATAAATATAAAAATACTTAAATAAATAAAAGCCCAACCAGATGGAGGCCCTCGGCAGGGGAGACCAAACGGCCGAGGGTTAGGGGGAAAGGGAAAGAAACCGGCGGACGATGCGGGCGGTATCGAGGAGCACCGCCTTCTGAATTTGAGCCCGGAGCGGTCCGCCACGTAGTCCCAGTCGCCTCAGATGACCCGAGAGGCTGACTGGGATTAGCCCGTTTGCAGAGACGACTACAGGAATAATTTCGGTCGGCAGACCACCCCACATGTCGGTCACCTCGTGAGCCAGGTCCAGATATTTTGTTTGCTTGTCTGTTTCGGCTTTCACGAGGTTCTCGTCATACGGAATGGTAATGTCGACCAAAAATATCCTTGACTGTGCCCGGTCCATCAGCACAATATCAGGCTTATTCGCAAGAATAGTCCTGTCTGTGATGATGGCCCGGTCCCAGTAGAGCCTGGCGCGGTCATTTTCGAGCACGGCTTCCGGCAAGTACTTGTAATACGGCAATTTCCGGTCCACGAGACCATATTTCAGAGCGAGCTCCTGGTGTAGAATTCTGGCTACTAGGTTGTGCCTGTGCAAGTACTCAGAGTTAGAAAGCGCCGAACAACCGGAGATAACATGCCTAAGTGATTCACCGGGATGGCGACAAGCTCGACAGACGTCGACGGTGCCATCCTTTAGGATGTATCTCCGATAGTTGTTGGTCTTAATAACCTGATCCTGTATTGCACACACAAAACCCTCGGTTTCCCCGAAGAGGTCACCGAAACGTAGCCAGTTGAGGGAGGCGACTGTATCTACGAAGGGCTCATGAAGAGCCCTGTAGTACCTCCCGTGGAGCTCCTTCTCCTTCCATACGGTCTCCCGGTCGGAAATGCTAAGCACTGCTGGGTCCTGCCATTGCTCGTGGGCTAAGGATAGAGGGGTAAGCCCTTTATCACTAGAAATGACGTCATTATAGAATGGATCATCCGATCTCGCCAGGAAGTAATCACGGAGGCTGCACACTTCGCGATTATGCATGGTGAGCGCGCTCATAAAACCACGCCCACCATGCTTTCGCGGCAAGTACAGCCTCATTACCGACGATCTCGGATGATGCATCCTATGGGACGTCATGGTAGTGCGGACTTTTCTATCCAGGGCGTTAAGTTCGGTCTGAGTCCACCTGAGTATGCCAAAGGTATATATGAGGACAGGCATGACCCAACCGTTATATGCGTGTGTCTTATTCACACCGGACAAAAGGCTGTTAAGCACTTTGGCCAAGCGTGCATAAAACACGTCGCAAACTGACTGTTTCACACCAGCCTCATCGATACCGATGTTCTGTGACATACCCAGGTATCGGTATGTTTCAGCCTCGGAAAGGGTCTTTAAGTTGACGGGCATAGATAAATCTATGCCCTCAGAGTTAGCAACCCTTCCCCTTTCAACATGAAGGACCGCACACTTATCCGTCCCCAGCTCCATTCCAATGGAATTGCTAAATTCACAAGTGATGTTTAGCAATTCCATAAGATGGGAGCGACTGGAGGCGAATAACTTGAGGTCATCCATATAGAAAAGGTGGGTCACTTTTGTTCCTCCTTTCCGTAGCTGAAATCCTCTCCCGGAGCCCTCCAGTAAGGTACTGAGAGGGTTCAGAGAGAGGCAGAACCAGATTGGACTCAGACAATCGCCCTGGAAGATACCCCTTCTTATCCTTATGTGGTTCTCCGCAGCCATCATCCGCTCGCCCTGATAACAGAGGATCGTACTCCACTGCCCCATACACTGCTCGAGGAAGTCTCTAACTGTACAGTCAATCTTGTACAGCTCGAGGACCCTCTTTAGCCATGCATGGGGCACCGAGTCGAATGCTTTTCTGTAGTCTATCCAGGCGGCGGAGAAGTTCCGACGGTTGCGTTTTACCACTTTGCCAATGACCGCGTCAATGAGGAGTGGTTCCTTGGTTCCACGACCACCGCCCCGACTTCCATTTTGAGCGCGTGACATCACCTTATTTAGCTCCAGGTGACGAGTGATTCTCGCGCTCAAAATGGATGTCAGTGTCTTATATATAGTGGGTAGACACGTGATGGGGCGGTATTTGCTCGGGTCTGTGGTATCCTGATCTTTAGGAACCAAGTGAGTGATCCCAGTAGTGAAGAGGCTCGGGAGCGACTTCTGATCGAGAGCCTCTTGATACTGTCGGGCGAGCACAGCGTGACACACTACGAACCCCTTCAGCCAGTAATGATGCAGCCCGTCAAGCCCCGGACTTTTCCAGTTCGGGGCCCTACGGACCGCCTCAGCCACGTCTTCAGGCGTTATGGTGACGGGGTCCATAGGCGTAACACTTGCACTCTGGCTCGCCACAACTTCCATCCAAGGGCCCTCGCTGTGGTTTACGGGCTCTGACCACAGGCCACGCCAAAACGCGACAGTGTCAGCCTGATCCGGTCCTGGGCCCGCTCCACATACCTCTGGTCGCTCCAATGATTTATAGAGCCTCTTCTGATCACTCTGGAAGAGACGATTTTGGTTGAACCGCCTTAACCTCTCGCTAAATCGTCGAATCCGCTTCCCCCAAGCAGCGATTTTTTGCTTCAGGTCATCTATGCGCTCCGTTAGTTTCTGCGTGATATCCGGCTGGGACAAACTAATATTTGTCCCAGCAAACGCCATTCTAACGGTGCGCACAACTCTCGGTCTAATATTACCCGACCTGAAGCTTGTCAGTCTGCCGATAAGGGCCCTTGCCTTTGCGATACGGTCCTCGATTCTTTTTCTCCAGGCTGGGATGGCACTACCTTGTTGAGTAGCACGTCCAGCCATGGGAAGTTTGGCGCCAATAATACGGCATACTGCCAGTGCGGCGCCAAAAAGAATAGAGTCCGTCTCGCAAAGGTCCCGGCTGGCTTCCAAATAGGTCACCAGCATTGGGTTAAGAGCCCGCACGACAGCCCGATTTCGCTTGCTAAGGGGTATGCGGGGAAGTCGCGGTCGATTTTCGAGAGGCATGCTGCGCGTTTCCAGCATCGACTCTTCCAATATGCTCCTCATTTTCTCTAGTTCGTGGGGGACTATTCCATCATCGTCTGAATCAACTACAAATGGAATATTGACGGCAGCGTCCACATTTGCAGTTTGCTGCGCAATTAGTGGCGCCGCATTCCCAGCCGTAGCATTTCCATCCGATGAGGGAACAGCCTCACGTCGTAGTCGTTCGAGTTCGGCGTCACCAAATATGTTGGAGCGCAGGATGTACCGAACTCGGTCTGCCAGGTTTTGCTCAGTGACGGATAGAGATGGCTCCAGCTCTGCAAAAAAGCGATGCATCCGAGCCCGATATGCCAAACATCCGGTTTCTTCCCCTTTTGCCCTAAAGTACGCCCGCAGTGCGTTTGCGTTCATTGTTTGTGACCAACGCATGCGACGTGCTCCACCAGCGGCGGGTGCCGCTTGCTGAGTCCGAGAAGACCCAGCCGACACCAAGCCTTCTGGTGGGGATGATGGATGCGGAGGGCTGCTAGGTGATCGTACAGCTCCTCGCGCTCGGCTGGCGGCCCGCATGCTGCCGCGTCCAGCGCCAGCTCCAGACGCGCCCCGGCGACCCCAGGCAGCGGCCCTATGCGCGTTCCTCTTTGTACCATCATCCATTTATGGGCGCCAAATAACGGGAGACGCCCAAGCCCGGCACCGTTTCGTGGTTCGGTCTTATGCACAAACGGACCTTTGCACCCACAATTTTGCCTAGGCACGGCGCTCACACCTCTTGGCAGGGCGCTGACTGACTGCGCCGACGTAGTAGTTTTGTCACATAACTGTTACGTCAGCGGGCGATGGGGTCGTCACTTCCCTACGCCTTTTTATTATTATTATTGTGGGGTATCTATATAGTTTTCTCATCTGGTTGGGTTCTATAAATATATAATTATAAATGAGAATGAATAATAAATATACATAAATATCAATAACATAAAATAAATATAAAAATACTTAAATAAATAAAAGCCCAACCAGATGGAGGCCCTCGGCAGGGGAGACCAAACGGCCGAGGGTTAGGGGGAAAGGGAAAGAAACCGGCGGACGATGCGGGCGGTATCGAGGAGCACCGCCTTCTGCATTTGAGCCCGGAGCGGTCCGCCACGTAGTCCCAGTCGCCTCAGATGACCCGAGAGGCTGACTGGGATTAGCCCGTTTGCAGAGACGACTACAGGAATAATTTCGGTCGGCAGACCACCCCACATGTCAGTCACCTCGTGAGCCAGGTCCAGATATTTTGTTTGCTTGTCTGTTTCGGCTTTCACGAGGTTCTCGTCATACGGAATGGTAATGTCGACCAAAAATATCCTTGACTGTGCCCGGTCCATCAGCACAATATCAGGCTTATTCGCAAGAATAGTCCTGTCTGTGATGATGGCCCGGTCCCAGTAGAGCCTTATTATTATTATTATTATAATTATTATTATTATTATTATTATTATTATTATTATTTATGTATTTAGAATCCCACGATATATACGTATAATAAGTAGCTATTTGTGTAATCGTGCTATTATTACTATAAACCATACAATAATGACTAGCTTGCCAGGCAGACGTTGATTTGCCCTTTTCGACTACAATTTGTCATGTCCTATTAAAAAGCCTTAAATTCGCAAAAAAAATTGTGGACGAAAAAACTATCCTATCTCTCAAGTTGGACCAAACTGCACACGGTATGCAAATTTGATTAAAATCGGTTGAGTAGTTTAGGAGTCCATCGCGGACAAACAACACGTAATTTATATATATTAAGATATGCTTGTTTTGACACAATTAAAATACCCAGACAGATAGAATTTCGTTGCCGTAAAGCTTGTCAAATGAGACGGGCCGCACGTGTGCACTGGCTTAGAAAACGACGCTGTGGGTGGTGTCTCGTCCAACTTCTGTTAATTTTTAAAAGCAAAAACTGTGCTGCCAATATCTTGTACTAAAAGCCTTTGAACTTGAGGCATCTTTACGATCAGAGAATTAAGCTTAGCAAATTAGCAATTAGTAATATAAGAAAATTTGCCACACAGATATGAGGCTATTAAAGCGTAAATGATTTTATGATTACAGATTTATAGTTATTGGTAACATTTATAAAAATACTCGCGTCCTTATTATACTTAATATCTCCCTTATGGCAAATAATAATAATTAGATAGTTCGTCAAAGAATTAATCATTTTTATAATTTTGATCACCATTTTTATTAGAACTTTAGCCTTAAAATTTGTCTACTACGCTATTTATATGAGCAAAAGGCACCGCGTTTCTAATCATTATTGCATTACTTGAAATGCATGAAATGTATGTGTATTATGTATGTGATTGTCTGATGACTTGATGATTCAAGCCGTTGTTCACGGCTTTATTGTATGACAAAAGTCACTTTCAATGCCTATTCCGTCTTCTGTTGAAGGTAACCTTTCCAATTTTCCTGAAGTTTTTCTATTCGACACAATGGGTGCGTTTGGCAGAAAAAAGCGCTAGCAAGCGCTTATAAGCGCTAAAATAGTTTTCGGCCAGGACACGATTGCTACTTCAGTAGCGCTGACACAATCCGCCATTTTGCTTATTTAATTTGTTTGTTTTGTACTTCAAAAGTTAGAGTTTATAAGTTGTTTTGTGCAATATTAGTTTTAAGTAATATAATGACATGAATAAACATATACATGCTATTAAAAACACATGATTGGTAAGTTTTTAGTATGAATACTTTATAAACATATATTTAAATTAGGTTAGATTCCCCGGTTAAAACTAACATCGTGTCCTGGAGGAAAATAGCTACTTACGATTTGACAGCGCTTACCGCTTACGATCGCCATTTTGCTTACAAGCGCTTTTTTTTCAGACCCAATATCTTATAGCCTTACCGTAAACTATATCATAAGCTTTCTTTTTAAAGGATGAGGGTGACAAACGAGCACACAGTCCACCGGATGGTTGGTGGTTGCTGCGGCCCATTAACATCTACGTCTATCCTCGATTACGAATCAAAATGCAGATGCGTTGTCACCCGTAAGGATTAAGATGGAATGCCTTGTGCCTAGTAAAATTGTTTGCCGGTTCTCTACACTCACCATATGAAACACAGCAGCTTTTACCTACTATTTTACGCTGCTATTCTGTGCGAGCGTGGTCCTTCCCCGGTCGAGCCAACCCATTCGTGCTAAAACTATACTGCTAATGTAGCTGCAGCATGGCTCTACCACGTAACAGATTAATAATAATTAAATAATTTTTATTCGTAATTTTTAAAGGCGGTCAATCATTTTTGTGGTAAGTAGGGTTAATGTTATTAGATAGATATTTAATGTACATAGTATTATTATCTTAACAAACGTAATCACGTTTTCAACAAAATCGATAAGTAATGTAAAAATGCCAACCCAGGTGGCCAAATGCTAAAATGGCAAATCTATGACAGTGCGACCACCTAAGCCGCACATGTTTCAACAACAGCTAATCCCGCTGCGACCGCCAGCAAAAACTACAAAATCAACATTAGGACCACCATCAGTTTGACCACCGCGCAGCCAATGTTTAAAACTGAAGAATTCTTCTCGATATAGGCTCGTATTAAAACAAATAGAAACTTGACAGCCGTCTCAGTTATGTTTTACGAAAATGATATCACCTCGAATTCATTCAACTATTTGTATATGCATGCGTCCGCTTGAACGCTCATTACGTCTTGTCACGCGTCATAACACTGATTAATTGGCCTCCATCGTTCCGATACCAGCACAAAGGGAATAAAAATTAAAAGAAGAATGACAAGGAGCAAGCAACGACCTTTAGGTAACGAGGAGCCGTCAATCATGCGAGCGGCGCGGGGGCCGGCGATGCGCTCGCGACGTAAATTTAAATGCAACTCCATATCCCTTTGTACTCCTCTGAATGATAGGTAATAAAGTCATGATAACAACTGATTTTAGAACAAATATCATAATTAAACCAAAAACAAATATAACGGAAAATTGTGATCCAACCGCCAACCGCCAATCGCAGCGATTATTTCACACCTCGCCAGTAACGATAGAATCGCACGTCCAGCGGTGAACAGTGCTGCAGACTGCTAAAAGGGAAGAAAATGTACAGTGATCGTGAACAGATTTTTCGTTAGGTAGAATCCAGACATTATTTTGAATTATTTTAACTGATCTATTTACTTTGTTTCGAATCAAATCTTTATAACAAAAATAAATTATATTTAAAAGATGTTCTTATTGGTTAAATTAAAGTATTGTAGAATATAGTTACACAAACTTTTTTAACACTTTTCTGTGTAAACCTTTAAGGACGCGTTTACAAAATGGATAGGTATAGAATCGCACTACTACATTGACAAAAGTCACACACACACTAGTGTACGCACGGTTGGCTGTGGGAATCGTAGTCAAATGAAATTATTTTGATAATTTGAAAGATTGAATTTGTTTTTCATTTCTTATACCTACCTCAGAAATATACTTCGATACGAAATATGAATACCTGCTCCAAAGACTGCTTGGCACTGGAAGCCCTCTACTGGTAGTGAGATGTTAGCTCTGGACTTTGAACTGGTTTTGTCAGTTATAATAAGACCTTACCTACCTGCGGACTTGATGGAGTGACCTGAAGGTGTAATTTGGTGATTACAACAATAGGAACTCCTAGACTAGTGGAACTAGGTGTGCCGAGTTTGGGTTCGTTTTGTTGGTTATGATGAGACCTTACCACCGGACTTGATGGAGTGACCTGAAGGTGTAATTCGGTGATTACAAGTGGAACTCCTAGACTAGTAGAACTAGGTGTGCCGAGTTTGGGTTCGTTTTGTTAGTTATGATGAGACCTTACCACCAGACTTGATGGAGTGACCTGAAGGGGTAATTCAGTAACTACTGCTGGAATTTCTGAACGAGTAGAACTAGGTGTGCCGAATTTGGGCTCCGTTTTGTTAGTTATGACGAGTCCATACCTCCGGACTTGATGGAGTGACCTGAAGGTGTAAATCGGTGATTGCAACTGGAACTCCTAGACTGGTGGAACTAGGTGTGCCGAGTTTGGGTTCGTTTTGTAGGTTATGATGAGACCTTACCACCGGACATGATGGAGTGACCTGAAGGTATAGTTCGGTGATTACAAGTGGAACTTCTAGACTTGTAGGACTAGGTGTGCCGAGTTTGGGTTCGTTTTGTTAGTTATGATGAGACCTTACCACCAGACTTGATGGAGTGTCCTGAAGGGGTAATTCAGTAACTACTGCTGGAATTTCTGAACCAGTAGAACTAGGTGTGCCGAATTTCACTCCATCAAGTCCGGTGGTAAGGTCTTATCGTAACTAACAAAACGAAACCAAACTCGTCACACCTAGTTCTACTAGTCTAGGAATTCCATTTGTAACCACCTGATTACACCTTCAGGTCACTCAATCAAGTCCGGTGGTAAGGTCTCATCGTAACTAACAAAACGAACCCAAACTCGGCACACCTAGTTCTACAAGTCTAGGAGTTCCACTTGTAATCACTGAACTACACCTTCAGGTCACTCCATCAAGTCCGGAGGTATGGACTCGTCATAACTAACAAAACGAAGCCCAAATTCGGCACACCTAGTTCTACTCGTTCAGAAATTCCAGCA